ACTTTGTGTCCCCAGGAAATAGTTTTTCTAAATGCTGCCTATGTTCCATTAAATTGATGTTTTCGTGTCTTGAATTGTGTGTTATTAGACAGATGTATATCCATTTATGGCAGGAAAACATGGATATTAGCTTTTAACACCAGTGACACTGACTAATAAATAAAGAGTTATCAATGAGTGCATTGTTCTGCTTTCCAAACCTCAAAGCTCTGTTGTCTTGAAAAGCACTCAGCTGTTTAAGTTCCACTCCTGATGTCTGTTTGATAATCTCAATATTGTTTTCTAGCTGCATTAGCAATGACTGGTCTAATATAAACAGAGGTATAATAGCCTCCTTCAGCATGCTTGACTAGATGCTGTAATACGCACAGCAGTGTTTCAGAGGAACAAATCACAGCAACAATCTGGACAAAAGGCTGGCCCGAAACTTCTCCTCTCAGCACTCGTATCAGCTTTGTAAAAGACATTGTTACTTGGCGTCATTTCTGCTTCTGCACATGTTTGCTTCTCATTTTCAAGTTTCCTTATGAAGCAGTGTAACCCTCCCAAAGAGATATCTTTGATTTATATTCATATGCAAATAAGCATCCTTAGGAGGAAAAAAGACATTCTTTTAAAGGGGAGAAGAAAGGGAGAAAAGAAGGGAGAGGGAAGTTCAGCTTATCGCCACTCAACAGATGTTCAGACTAAATGTGTTGGTTTGTCTGTCTCGTCACTGAGGCTGAGCAGAGCAAAGCTCCAGCGCTGGCTGGCCTGAATGGACCAAGTCAACCAGCTGCTGCTAAGAAAAAAAAAACCATTTCAATAGTGGCTGTAATTTGCTCCGATGGCAGAGGTGGAAAGAGCCAGAGGATCAGGATGAGAACCATCAGCTGCCAAAGGCCTTTGGCCACACAGAGGAAATTAATTCAATTCCAAGTAGATACTGTAAAGGCAGCGTGCTGCAGGATAGTGCGCGCGCCAGGTAGCTCACAGGAAAGTGCTGAGTGGACAGTTACAGAGCTGTGGACTGGCCTGCTGTCTTTTGCCCCTCTTGCTTTCTTTCTCCCTTATCTCGACAGAAAAAAGCATCACAAAACATAAACATGTGTAGAGTTTAAAGGAGCACTTCACCCCCAAAATGATCATATGTATATCAGCTAATCACCTTGTGTTGTGTTGAATTTGTGGGAGAAAACTTATTTTTTCTCACACTCCTCTACAGTGAATTAAGAATCCAAAAAATGCTCATTGAATTGAAGTGAATGGGGGCCGGGTTTAACAGCCACAAAACTAACTGGAGCAAAATAATCCAGTTCTCATTTATCCAGTCATGTGCTCAGTACTTCCCAAACTCATGCATTTTCACTAACACTTTACTATTTAAAACACTTTGCACACTGGGGCAGGAGCAGTTTCATCAGCCAGCTCGTTCATTGGCCAGGAGGTCTCTCGCCCGTCTCTTCCTGGCCAATGAACGAGCTTAAAGGCAGGTTTTCATTTGAAAGCACGAGTAGAGTTCAAATGCATGCCCTTGCCCTGGCTTGTTACTCATCCATGCCTGAGACTGTTAACACAGAAGTGTTTTAAAAAGTAAAGTTTTTGCGAAAATGCACAAGCTTGAGAAGTACTGAGTATGAGACTGCATAAATGTGACTTGGATTATACTGCAGCAGTTGTATGAGTTTGTTTTAATGCAGTTTTGCTGTTGTTAAATCCGCCCCTATTTACTTAAACTCATCAGGAATTTTTTGTTTATGGATTCTTCGTTTACTGAAGAAGTACATGGAAAAGACAACGTTTTCTCACTAATTCATCATAACACCTCGAGAGTCACTTATATACAAATGTTCGTTTTGTTAGTGAAGTATTCCTGAAGGGATTTTGTTTGATTTTACAAGGATTTTTTCTCAAGAATTTTAGACTCTTGTCCTTGATTTCCTCCATCATTAATTGAAAAGTATGTGTCCACTCTGAAAAGTATGGGTATATTAATTTGTGGGGTGATTTTGTGGAACGCACTGGGTGAAGAAATCAAACAAAGTAAAGATATCAGACAGTTTAAGAAGAGGTACAAAGACAGTATTTTTACAAGGTACAGAAATGATTAATGGGAATGCAGCACACTCAGGGTGACACTGTTGTCGGTATTCTCAATTTGTGTTTTAGTATTTGTTGTATACACAGGGTAAAATCGGTTATCAGGTATGAAGAAGTGCAGTGGTGTAAATGTGTGGTTGATCGATGGTGAGGGAGGGTGTATATATGTAATAGTTTGATTAGTGATGGATTACTGTAGTTTGGGATTGGGGGGAAGGGCTAGATGAGCATGTTGCTTCTTCCTACTTCTTCCTACCAACTTTTGAGACATGAAATGTTAATTTGTGTTTCTAACTGTAAGTCTGTTCATGATATTGTTTGTCTCTATTTTATAGGATTTTTTTCTAGAATATATTCTATTCTATTTCATTTTTAGTTTTTAAATGTTGGAAATAAATAAATCAAATCGAATTTTAATCACAGAACTACGGATAATTAGTCATAAAAACATGCTCATTCAAATGTCTAATGCTCTTTCTTTTGTTAGATCATGTGGGGGTAGAATGGCAGTTCCCTCTGAAAGTATATTATCTCTAAGGTGGGAAAAAACACTTTTGATGCATCTGATTGTTGATATGTCTTATATGTAAGTAAGATAAGGAGCATTTATAGTATTCTCTCATTTTGTTTCTATGGTTTGAGGAAGTGCAACAGGAGTGGCATTGTTGTTTGACGTTTAGATGTGAAATTATGGTGATTGTCTTCATTCGGTGTTGAACGCTGCTCTGAACTGTGATTTAGAGATCATGTTAGCCACTTGTTGAACCACCTGCAAACTTTTAATGACAGATTTTGAATTCAACTGGACTCTAAGCTCCTATTTCAGCATAAAAAGTCAAGTTGGATCCAGTTTAAGCAATGCAGTAATGGCATTTCAAGGTCAAGGTTGTACGTATGACAGTTGGGTGGTATCGTTAATGAGGTTTGGAGAATATGTTGTTGTTTCAGTTCATAAAATAATCTTTATGGGAACACAAAGGCACAGTCACACACACGAGCACACACATAAAAAATCCAGGGATCCAACAGGTGTTCTTTGTCGTGAAAAGGAACAGATTTGATTGAGAATGTTCATGAAATCTAGCCCCACTCCCCGGCCTGTCTGACCAGTGTTTAGCATTGTCATTGCAGGGTGAAATTTCATAAAGAAAAATATGTTATTATTTGGCTTAACATGAATGTAACTACATCTGATAGACACATTATTTTGCATATGTTCAAATGGTTACCTTCTGTAAATAGTTACGAACACTGCTGCTGTGAAATCTGATGTTCCGCCATCTGGTTTGCATCTGTTGGCTTTGTAAAACAATCCAAACTATCACAGGCACTCTTTTTACCCTTTAGTAGCATTTAATAAGGCTTGTTTTTACTTTTCATTTTATATCAAACAGCTGCGAGAACTTTATCTTTATCTCTTTAGATTATGATCAGCCATAACCGACACATGTGTCTTATTTCCCCTGTGGGACGAGGCAGACGGGATTTGGATAAAAACCAGCATTGCAGGTGTGAGAGATCAAAGCAGGAGCAGGATCGACTAAACAGTCCCGTGTAGACCTCAGAAGTGCAGTTGCTAGTTCAAGTGCGAGAGGGGGCAGGAATTACAGAAAACATAAAAGTTTATGTGTTTAGCCTTGAGGTTATAAAAGTAGGTTAGTGACCAAAAGGTTTCTGGCTCAAATCCTTTGAGGTAATGTGGCCGATGCCCTTGACCAAGGCACCAAAGCCCCTCACTGCAGTGATGCTGCCCTGCTGCCAAACACTGGAGCTGTGCAGTTGTTGCACAGATGTCCCTGTTATCGCTGGATAAAGGCTGAATAAACAATTACAGAATTACTTTCCTCGTTTCTTTCTGGGTATCTCCCTTCCTTCTTCTTTGTTGGCTTTCCCTCTGTCGTCTCGCTCTCCTTCCTTCCTCTATCTTGCGATATAACTTCCACGGCTGGTTGATTTGGGTGAGCAGAGGGAAACAGGCAAGGCTTCCACAGTTCAGGGCTCCGGAGAGCTCGGCCAGGCAGCAGCAATCAATCACAGACTAAATCCCTCCTCTCTCAGGACTGCCATGTGCCAGGTGACATGGTCAACAGCTGCAGAGAAATATAAAGCCTACAGTGGGTATTTGAATTTAAATAGATTAGTAAACAGGGTTTGTGAACAGGCTGCAGTCCAGAGAAAACCACTAAAAGAAAAACGGTTAAACCAGCCTGTGTTTACATCTTCCTGACAATCGACCTCTTTGACTTGTTCAAATCGTGGACAGTTGTACAAACAAGTCATGTGACTTTGACATAGAAGATTGTGGCGCTTGTCTTACAGCCTACCATCAGTCAAATTTGGTTTCTTTTAACCACGACCGTGGTCTTTCTCTGTCTTCAAAGTTTTGCAGTGGAGTTTTTGACTACTAGTAGTGCTATGAAACCATTCGTCAATGAGTGGGTCACCATGACCACAGTAGAATGACTTGATTCAGCAACTCATTTTCACTCCAACCTTGTCACATAGACGTTTGGTCATGGACTTTCCACACACTGATATGACATGAAAGGTACCCTGGGTGTGAAAGGGGGCCACCCGTCCTGTCCGCCCCGTTGAGACTTTCACCACCTGAACTTTCGCTCTTGTTCTGCTGCATTTCCCCCTGAGGCCACCGGGCATCAAGTATTGTCAAGACCATTTCAGGTTTGCAGCGCATGTGAGCAAGGGGCTTTCGATTGTATGTTACTTGTCAGCCCGTGTCATACAGCTGATGTGATATCGGACTAAATAAATGAGCCATGTTTGCAAAAGCGTGAATGAATCTGATGAAAAAAGACCCTTTAAACTGCAGTGACACAGCATCTTGCATTTGTAGAAGGTGTGACTGGAGTTGTAATTAACACTCAGCTAACTCTGGGTCCATGTGCTTCTTTTCTTTACAGACATGTCTAGAGTTGGAGCGGTACCTACAGACGGAGCCCAAGCGACTCTCGGAGCTCTTTGATGAGGAGCTGGATTGTCTCTTAACGCCGACCTTCATGCAGGGTGGTGACAGTGACGAGGACCTGATGGACCCCCTCCTCCCCAGCCTCCCTGACCAGCCCAGCCCACTTCCACTCCTGGTAACCCTCCCCAAGGTCCAGGCCAAAATCCTCCAGGTGCCCACCCCCAGCAGGACCCAAGCAGAGGCAGGGACTGAAACCGTCACACCAAAGGACCAAGTCCTGGCAGGAGTCAGTGCCGCACAGCTCAGTGCTGCCGTCACATCCCTAACACCACCATCGTCACCAGAGCTCGGCCGCCACCTCGTCAAACCCACACAGACACTGACTGCGACGGCAGACGGTACACTAACGCTCAAATTTGTGGCGAAGAAGGTAGGGCTAGGGGCGGCTAAACTGGTGGCAGCACGAGCGCTACCGTCACCGCCAAGCCGAGGAGGAGCCCTCAGTGACAGTGAGCAGGGAGGAGGAGGAAGTCTGGGAGGAGACGTACCAGAGAACAAAAAGAGAGTCCATCGGTGCCAGTTTAATGGCTGCAGGAAGGTTTACACCAAGAGCTCCCACCTGAAGGCACATCAGAGGACTCACACAGGTAAGACCTGATTACGTTCATTACACTTACCTTTACTCCATATTAAGATGCTAACATCTGAAATGATTTCAGCTCAGGCATAATTTGAGGGTATTCACGTCAATAATGGTTGAGTACTGTAAGACTCATAGCCCTTTGTATTCATGAGGCCATGTAAACATGAAGGGTGCAATTTGCAACATGAGATCTTGTCCACTCGCTTATTTTGATATGTTTTACTAATCAAAATAAATATCATGTTTGCAGCCGATGCATGAACATGAAAGAAACCTGTCGGGCTTTCGAATTTATTTGCAATTTGTGAGCAACAAACATTTGTGAAACACGACAGTGCCATCGTTATGATCTGTGTTTCGGCACAAATTGCTTGTATGAAACTGGTCCCAGCGGTCCCTCAATTTTAGGACATTGCAGCGAGACAACATACACTCATGGCAACCAAGGTGTTTTTATTGCCAAACATTGTACCATTCTTGGTTGTCAAAGACCTCTTTTCCACCAAATTAGCTCTGGTTCTTGAACCATTCAGGATTCTTGGAACCTTGGTTCTACCTAGCAAACCAGCCCTTGTTTCACCAGAAACAGAACTATTGTAATCAAGGATGCATCATCAGTGGAGGATTTGGTAACAAGATTGCAGATTGCATTGATTACCTGTGGGCTGTTGCTGGGTACAGATATTTGTTTTGATCTTAAAAACAAGTATGAACCAACCATTGATGATAAGAACACGTCGAGGACTATTACATGCAAGACTCCTCTGTTTCCAGTCTGTGGAATATGAAACGGCCACTGATGTTGTCACTGTTTGCACTTCAGATCAAGAAGAACATGCCTTTTTTTGTTTGTTTGTTTGTTCTGCTCCCAGCTAGAAACGAACTTCTCAGGGTCCGAACCAATTTATTAAAAATGGTTCAAAATTAGGTGCGTAAACCAGAGCGAAACCCATTCCCTGTTGGTGGAAACAGGGTACGAGTGAGACACATGACCTCAATCCAAGTGATCTTCATGTGTTTCACTGCTGAAGACCCAACTGCAGGCAAAGAGCCCTGAAACAAGAAACAAGAAACAAGAAGCAAAGCTGGCTCTGGTACAGGCCCGACAGAGTGTCAGCTGGGGAGATAAAGTGTCTGATGATGTTTGTGAGACTTGGCAACAAATATTAAAAATGATGACCTCATTCAAGTTTACACAACTTTTCCAGTTACTTTCTGTGCCCCAAAATGAGGGGACTATATTTAAATTCCTGCACTGCCAACACACTTACATGAAAGCTGAAAGTCAGCATTTTTACCTCATAGTCTATGTTCCATTTCAGTGTCCTTAAACAGTTGCAAGCACTGTAGTTATACAAGATGTAGTCATTTCAAATGTGGAGATCTGAGTAAGGCACATGTCCATAACCCAAAAGACACTTCACCTTATGAGTTGGTTGAGCCTCTGGAGAAATCTGCAAAGAAATCATCAGATATTTGAGTTTCTAAAGAGAGATTATGACCTCTCCACTTCTTCTGCTGCTTCCCAGGTGATCCTCCAGATTTATTAATTTCCTTATGAGTCTTGATACCAGCTCAGGGCCAAAAGGCCCTGCCTCAGTAATTGCCTGATGATTGATAGACTGGTAGTAGTAAATGACATTGGTAATTCAGCCGTGTCCAACTGGGTCAGACGTGCAGCTTTAGCTGCTAACTACAGCTGCCCTCCCATTGAACCTCAGAAAGAACACACACCAGGCTAATGTGTCCGTGGGCTGTTTGCCGTGAGCTCTCCAAAGTGTTAGCATGTGGAGACAGGCTTTGGGCTGATGAAGGGACACCAGTGAAGATGGAGTCGACTGATTCAGATTATCATAAATTCGTGATTTAAACAGCATTAGGCAGCTTGAACTCAGCCCGAACTTTGCTCGATAAGGAACAGCCTGTTGTGTTTTTCTGACCAAGTTATCACTTATAACACATGGACATGAAACCTTTCAATCAATCCCACAATCTTGTTTAACACACACTAAAAGGAATTGGGAGAGAAGATGCTCTCGCTTTTGAGCAGATTTCACCAGTAAACCAACCAAAATAGACGTGAGTTCAAAGAAAACTAAAAAGAAAGACTTAACAGGCTTCAGACCAAAGACAGACCTGCATAAAAAAACACAAAGGGCTGCATTAGTTATGGGGTTATTCTTCCAGGTACAGGTGAGGTATTGTTGAGAAACAGATCCGAGTTTGAAGGATAATCCAACATCAGAACACTATCCAGCGTTTTACAATATAATAAGAAAGGATTTCACAACTAAGAAAAGTAATCACAGAGACAATAAGACAATCTCTTTATCATTTGTGGAGTCGATTTGCAGGTTAACAGTAAAATTTCGGTACCTACTTTCACAAAATAATCTATGTTGCCGTGCCTAATAATGAATTACTTTGTAAAAGTCTCCTTGTATTACAGCAAAAGTTAAGGCAGGTTTGACTTTATTGTTAGGTAGCTGGAGCCTGCTGTGTCAGCACCGACTGTGTCACTACAGTGGTCTGATTGAAATCAATGAAGGGCCTGTTTCTTCAGGCAGTGCTGTTGTCTGTCTGCAAATGACTTTATGATTCAGTCTGTGTTTAAAGGTATTAACCAAAGACCGCATTCAGTGCTAAAAATCACAGGAAACACAATTAAATTAGAATTATAATTGTCTAAAAATGTATTTAGTAATTATTCATATTGAGCAAAGTACTTTTTTTCCTTGGTGACTATCCTCAGTTACCAAAGAATATTGTAAGCTATTTCAGCCCATTCTCATTCCCAGGTTGTTAAATGCTGATGCTTTTTCATGCCCCTCTGCATCTGATAACGAGGCACAAGGCACCCTTAAGTGTCTCTGTGTGACACACAGCTGAAACACAACGTAACACAATGTCAATGTTGTCAGGGACAGTTGCAGTTAGGATCAGACAACAAAAATACTTAGGTTTAGAGAAAAGATCATGTTTTGGGTTACATAAATACATCACATTAGAGATATTGGTGCACAACGACTGAACATAAATTAAGTAACATTACGGTAAAACAGCATTGACTTTTGGTTTCACACGAGACACAAACAGCTGTCTCCTGGATGAAAGTACAGTTTTGTTTGACCCATCCCTCTCCACTCCGTCCCACTCTATGTGGACTTTCTCGCTTTCTATTCTACACCATTTGCTTTCAGTGTCAAGCAGCTAAGGATGGGTTTACACTGGAGAAAGTCGCTGCATCTCATAAAGACACTAAAGCCTGACTTTCACATCAACATCACATGGTGAGGGGCGTGACAAAGTGTCAGTATTTGAGTTCAGCTGTAGTGAGTTTCTATGGTTACGTTGACTCTCTCTGAATTAGAGAAAGCTTTCATTGCATTCAAATGTTTTGTTAAAGATTTTTCCATTGAATCTAATCTCTCAAGACAGATTCTGCAATTTACATTGTAGAATCTGTCAGCAGCCCTGTGTGAAAGACGACTAGAGAGGGGTAGAGGGCGGGGCTTTGAGTCTGAACGATGCTGCACTTTAGCCAATCACAATGGAGGGGGCATGGCCAAGACATGCAGGTGTCCCCAGTAAATGTGTACCTACAGAAATAGCAAGCTCCGCGTCCATAGCGACCGCTCCACCCAAAACGCTGTCTCGTCAATGTGAATTTTTTTTTTTTTTTCTCCAGCGGATGTCTTAGTTACAACATGATTGAGCTAACTGGAGTAGTTTCATGTCGTATCCGACAGCGGGAGGCTTTTAACAGATGACGTCCTGATGTTAGCTTTGCTGCTGCTGTTAGCTGTCCCTGTCAGCTGCAGCCACTGATGCTTTCTAGACATCGTGATTTCCCAAAACTGAATAAATACCACACATAGCAACACAAAACTGCTTTGCTAGCTCCATCATGTTGTAACTAAGATATCCACTGGAAAAAATATTTTATTCATGGACCGTTTATTGAGTTATTACCTTATTTTAAACAGTCTATGGTTATTACAGACACCGCTAACGGCTAACGTTAACAGCTAGCAGTTAGCCCAGCTAATCTACGATAACCATGTTATTAATTACAAAACGTGCACACAGAAATAGTAACGTTTGTTCAGTTATTGTGTTTATAGACTTTCCAAACATCAGATTAGTCTACAAGGTGATATAGTGACATGAAAAATGTGATATATAGCTAAACTCTGCTGGTTTTCTACCCGAAGTATTTGTAAACAATGTGATATATAGCTAAACTCTGCTGGTTTTCTACCCGAAGTATTTGTAAACAATGTGATATATAGCTAAACTCTGCTGGTTTTCTACCCGAAGTATTTGTAAACACTTTCGGTGGTGCCCACAAAGTGAAGGGTGTGAGCAATCGCCAACCCCTGCACTTCCATTAGTCGAAAAACTCCGGGCTGTGCCTCCAGAGGTAAAGGAAGGAAAAAAAAGTGTTTATTTTTTTTTTTACCAATGGATTTCCAGATTGCATTGAATCTAATTTTGCAACGTCATTTGACATCACCAATATGCAAATAAGTGCATGACATCATCTATTGGAGCTAGTGCTAGCTCAGGGGCAGCCTGTGGCACTTTATCTCCTCTACAGTGGCTCCCTATGGGTTTGTCAACCCATGTTGTTGATGTTGTTGATTTGATCTGACTGATTGATTGTGAACATTTAAAAAAGTAATAAAATAGAAAATAGAATATATTGTAGGAAAAAAACAACAACCAAACAAAGACAAACAATAAATCATGAACAGACTTACAGTGACAAACATAAATTAACATTTCATGTCCGAAAAGGAGCAGGAAGAAGCAACATGCTTGTCTAGCCCTACCCCCAGTCCTCGTCATTCTCCAATTGTAAACATGTGTAGCTTGTACACCAGTTTTAAAATGTTATAACATTTCTTCAACTACAATGTGTGTCATATATCTACGACCTGGCGCCTTTCTCTCAAAATTTTGGCAAACCTCAGTGGTGGGGGCTCGTCTTGAGTCCTATTC